ACTTGTTTCAAATTTATTTTTTCATGCAAATGAATATGACAACAATTGCACTGAATTTGCAGTACCCTTACATCACTAAACACTGTGAACTTGAACTAGTACCTCACGTATTCACCATAGAGGGCATACTTTAAGTTTTGATGGGCTAGGATTTTTGTGCGTTAATCAAAAGCTTTGTATATTCTTAACCAATTTGGGTGTTCTTTTGCCTGTTTGTTAACCCAATTGGGTTAGAGCCAATATGCAAATATATGACATTACCTCGGTAGCCTAAATCTACTTGGTGTAGTGTGAATATGACTAATGGCATTGCTGTCTCAATCATAGACCCAACATTCTGTTGCACAATCTATATATCAACACAATTTTTAGTTTATTGTTGATTTATCAAAATTTCAGAGCTTGGTTACATGATGTTGGTCGAGGTATTGACAATGAACCAGTTCGCCCAAGACAACTGCCCAAGTCTGTTGGATGTGGGAAGAATTTTAGTGGAAAACTAGCTCTAGCAACCAGGAATGAGGTAAGCGCATTAAAACAACCATAAATCTCAACCAGAATGAAGTTAATGAGTGTTGAAAAAGTCTCTCAGTATTTGTTTACCGGTACATCTAAGTGGGCAAATTTAAAAGTCACATGTCCACTGGACAGGTTTGATCATTTAAGTGTTGTTTCCCTTTACTTTGAATTACCTTATCGTACCTGCAATTAGATTTCGCTGAGAATTTAAGTTAAGCAATTTGTCATACTGTAAAATGACTAATTTTCACTGGGTTTAAATTTCACTGATTTACCATTTCAGGCATATTCAGTGGGTTTTAAATTCACGGTTTCGTCATTTAGATAATGTGTTCTATGCTAAATTTTACATATTCACTGTGTTTTAATTTATCGCATTTTTCCAGTCAGCGAAATAAGCTAAATTAAAACCCAGTGAATAATTACCCCCTTTACAGTAAATTATCTGTGCACTTGTATACTGCCCTCTACAGGTCAAGTATTGGTTGTTACAACTTGCCACTGAGATGGAAGAACGACTTCAAATAGAATCTGAAATGGTGAGTTAATATTACTACAATTATATGAAACTTTGATGATGGTATTTCATTACAGATTTCACTATTGATGGTCATGTGATAGCCAGTAATATACATGGTTACAACAGAGGAACATGTTTCAAGCCAAGATTTGATTATGAATTATTTATGCAGGTTTTGTTGTGTGTTTTTTGAGGTGGGGTTGGTATTTTTACTGCCGATAAATAGAACAGTTTGTATACATTTTATTGTGTGTGTTTTCACAACTATTTTTATGTCCAAGCGGGTAGGGACTTATAACATCACATGAGTGATGTAATAATTTTTATCAACTAACAAATTATGTATAAGTTTCATCTTGATTTCACTGAATCTACTCTTTTTCTTGCTTCTTAGAATAAACGTGTTGCTAAGTCAGTGTCGGTACAAGTGCGCTGGGGCGGTAATCCCCCACAGACAGCCTCAAGATCATTTGGACTGCACAACATGGATGCAGACACAATCAGTCGCAATGCGCTATCTGTGATACAATGTTTTAACACGGCAGGAAATCATCAAAAGGCTTGGTAAGTCTAGGATCATGGTGATCTCTATATACTACCTTCAAATTCAGTGTGATTTATTAGGTGTTGGGGCATGTGGGGTAAGGGCTACCAATGTTCACAGATACATTGAACTTTACAATGTTTCATTGTTACAAGAAACGTATAACATCTGCATTAAACATCTAATTGTCAGTAACATTTTGATATTAATCTTTCTAGACTGATTAGATTTATGCTTGTAGACAAACACATGTTTATTTTCGTAATGAGAACATTGGAAAGAAAGCCATATCTAAATATAAAAAAAAAACATATGATCTATATGGCAGCCATCTGATACCTAAACGTGTCCGCAGCTGTTTCTCGGAGTTGACTGGGCCAATTTGGATCAAAGTTAGTATGATGATCATACATATTGAGTTGTAGGTGCACATCATTTTTTTTTGTGATTCAAACATATGGCCGACTAGCGGCCATCTTGTTTTTCATGGTACCCATGCTACTTTATCTTGAATGCAATGAACGTTTCTATTTAAATTTTGTACAAAGATAGTATACCAAGAGATACATCTGCACAAACATGATATTTGTGATACAATTCAATATGGCTGGCCGACGCCCAATTTTCATGTAAAAGCGCAAAATCCTCATTTATACAAGTCCGGAGCCGTTTCTCAGAGATGACTGGGCGGATTTGGATCAAACTTGGTATGATCATCATACATATTTGGTTATAGGTGCATGTCGTACTTTTTCTGTGATTCAAACAAATATGGCTGACTGGTGGCCATTTTGTTTTTTGTGTTTGTTTCACATTTCTGTTTAAATTTTGTACAAAGACAGTATACCAATAGATACATCAACATGAACATTATTTTTGTAATTTGATTCAATATGACTTCCCAATGTCCAATTCTCATGTAAAAGCAATAAATCATATTTTTTTACAAATCCATCTTCTATTAATGGTTTCAATCTAATCTCAATGACTTCATCAGCATCAAATTGATATGTCAGATCAACAAATTTTGGACGGGGACTGTGTCATTAACAATGACTTGTTTCTGTTCATTTTGCATTCAAAATTATTAATACGGTTCAAACATGCTTCATATAAGAATCATATTCTAGCACATTAACAACAATTGCTTTGTGTTACAATTTGGTTTGACTAAAATCTGCAATTTTCATCTCCCCCCCCCCCTATTTCTGATTATATTGCAAATTTAAGCTGTACGATCAGATTCAAGTTTGGTTCACGGACAATTGTGTTCAAGCACATCAATGAAAGTTGAACTGTGTCGTGATCCAACCCATGATGACCGACAGGACAGCCATTCTGTTTTACATTTTGCCAATACACACATTAGGACTCATACATGATGTTACTACAATTAAACTCGATATGCAATCATTTTACACATTAAACCCTGAGTTTGCATACTCAAAACTAAAAAAAACATGTTTGTAGCATTTATGCCCAAAACGAGGTTGATTCAACTACATACTGGACATAATATTGGACAAGTTTACCCAGCTGAGAAATTCCCTCTTAATCACATCAGTGAGCCATTTTAAAGTTAGTTAGTTTCATATTCAACAGAACAGTTTGGAAATATGTTATCCCTCGAAAAAAAAAGACACAACTCCTGTACCTTGATATACTATCTAAGTGAAAACAATAACGATGAAATGTTTTATCCCTTTAGGTGTCCAGCAATAATCACTCTTAGCATGTGTGCTTCCAAGTTTACTGAGACTGGTAATAACATTGGTAAAATGAGCATCAGTAGTTTCTTCAGCGGCAAGGAGCAGAGTACGTCCACAGTGAATGGTAGTAATGACGGTAAAACAACAGTCAGTAGTTCCTTCAATGGCAAGAAGGAGGTTATATCCACGGAAAAAAAAGTCACTTCTCGTTCACAGCTCGATGAATTCTCACCAAAAGAATCAAAGAAAAAAAGAAAGAGCATAGACTCGTTTTTCTCTGCTTCGCAACGTCTGAAGCGAGACAGTGATGCAGCAGACTTCATTATTATGCCATCGTCGTCTGGATATCAAGAAAAGCCATCAAGTATTGATAAACAACATGACACAATGACAAGGACCAATTTGAACCACTCGACAGGATTCTTTGCATCCAAGATGAACCAACCAGTAACCAGTTCGCTGAACAGTGATCCCTTGGTAGATGCCTGTCATGAGCAAAACACAGGAGTGTACGCCTCAGATAAACCAAATAATTTTAAACAACAGTCTGTGAGGGACCCTTCACCTGGCATCATTGAGGTGACATCATTATCACTATCCAGACAGGATAAGGACCTGACAACATGTTCTGATAAACTATTCTCTGATTTGCCAGTGGCTGATTTTGTTACTTGTGAGAAATGTCAGCAAAAAGTGTCTGCTTGGGACCTACCTGAACATTTAGACTACCATTACGCATTTGAGTTACAAGAACAGATTGATATTGGATCCACAACCAGCACTGCTAGAACTATTGAGACTCCCGTCAAAACAAGTAAATCAACCCCAAGTACTTTATATTCCTTTTTCCAGAAGAAAACATAGAAAACTTCTCAGACTAAATATTTGTAAGGATCCTTCTCTATTGGTGTCTCTACCTGGTCATGCATTAATTGTGCATATATTATTTAAACTTTTGGTCATTATTTTATTTTCATTCCCGATTTTCTTTAAAATATGTTTAAAATTAGGTCACACTCATATTGAGTATAGCGACATTGGTGTATAAAAATTTGGTTATTTGTGAATGTATATATATATATATGAATGTACTGTATAATGTGTCAATAAAATGAGATTCTTTTTTTTAAGAAATTTTAGTTGATTATTGCACTCCTGTAACCCAATGTGAATGAATCTTAAACAATGGCTTGTGCCTACCTCTTGAATCTTGAAAACGCCCCCAGGGAATGGTTTGTTTCTTGGTTTTGGTGTTCAACTCTCCAGGTAGCATTCAAATTTTAGTTATTATGGGTCTAGCCTGACGAGTTAGATGCTCCAAACGCAACTGACAGAACTATGTAGTTTTTCACTTCACCAACGTTTTTTTTTTGTCGATACCGATCATATTGCAGGAACGCCAGATAGTGACAGCCATCAACGAGTAACCATTCACGGCAGAGTTTATTGTTTGTTGACATAATGTGTGATAAGGTGCTGGCATATTTCCACCCAATCTTGTTGAAAACAGTCTGTGATATTTGCTGACAACACTGCTTTGATTGAGCGTGACCACCAAAATGAATATTCATTGAAACTCATTGCAAGAAGGCATGAATTTTGAATACTGTAAAATGACTAATTTTCACTGGGTTTAAATTTCACTGATTTACTATTTCAGGCATATTCAGTGGGTTTTAAATTCCCGGTTTCGTCATTTAGATAATGTGTTCTATGCTAAATTTTACATATTCACTGGGTTTTAATTTAGCGCATTTTCCAGTCAGCGAATTAAGCTAAATTAAAACCCAGTGAATAATTACCCCCTTTACAGTACGCAGTATAGATCTTGCTGACGAGACACACTATTCTGTCAGGTGTTGATGCCTGATGGTGGAGGAACAAAGGGCATGAGAGGTTAGGATCATCAGCCAGCGGATGTTCAGCTTAAACAGGCTGATATGGCAGACAAATTAGCTACTTAATATGCATGAAGATGACCTCAAAACTAATATCTGCATATTACCCAAAAGTAACTATGTAATAAATTTGATAAAAATCTGCTTAGAAGTTTTTGAGATTTCGCTTCGCACATGCATGAGCTAAAAAACTTGCATTTATTCTTATTGAGTATGCGATACTTGCTGTATTATAAGCATATACACTTGTGTGAATGATAGAGGCGTGTCTAAAGTCAAAATAAGTCTTATTGTAATGATCCAGTATAACATAAATACACTTTTAGGTTTATGTACGATTCTCTCAGAGGTGCACCTCAAACACAAACAGAGTACTTGAAATATAATCTCAATGAACGTGTTTTAGAACGTGTTGATTTGAATCAGATAAATCTTACACAGATGGGTGAATTTAAGTCTGCTGAGAAAGTCCACTGATATAAGTGGACACCAATTTATATCTTGACTTAAATATTTTTCTATTGGAGGGGTGTACAGAAGCATACATTAATTGGGAAGGATGTATAGCAGCATACATATTTGATTTGGAAGGGTGTATAGAAACATACATATTTGACTGGGAGGGGTGTATAAAAGTAAATTTGATTGGGAGAGGTCATCGTACGAATCGCACAGTCCGTGTCTTCGACCTATAGGCCTCTACACGATACCGTGCGGGATCGCATAGGCTAATTGCGTGAGATCTGATTGGGCACGCCTCGAAACAAGGCACCCAATCAGCTTGGACGTACCAAATTATAAAACAAAATTCCACTTCCTGTTTTTGATGCTATGAAGACATTCTTACCACACAAAACTGCGTCGATTGCCTGTACCTGATGAGGCTTGAGGGCACCAACACCGAAAACTTTCGCAATTTTATCATCACAAATATCACGATTCATTTTGTTTAAAATGAAACTCCAAAGAAGGATTTGTAACACGCAAACTGATTGGACAATGATTAGCCGCAACGGACTACTGAGGGCGATGTTAGAAAACGCATATTTGATGGTCGTTCTGCCAAGGTCTGTTAAAAGGCTTGGCGGAATAAACTTAGACCTTGGCTAGCAAAGATTGGGAGAGGTGTATAGAGCGTATTTGATTGGCAGTGTCTCATGGCGAATTACTGTGGTACACTGCTTTTTTTCACAATTTCATTAACATTTTTTATATACGAATAGCTTTGTGATTTTGCAAGGGCCGTGTCAACAAAAAACCTCTGTTGTGTCTGTGTGTGACTTGCATCAATTGTCTGAAATGTAAAATGACAACAGGGGCTATTTAACTTTTCAATACAATCCACTTAAATTAACAGTACTCTTCCTTTACTCTTATCCAATGTATTTTAAGACAACAGATTCAAATTTGATTTTATATTTGTTTTTAATTTGAACAAAGTGTGATGTGCATATGAAGCAAGACATTGTCAGTGTTACTGTTCCAGGTACAATGGCGATACATACGTACCCATGTCTGCTATATTTTAACATACTGTAAACAGTTTCAATTACTTGAACAACATTTTTGTAAGTCATGTCAATGAAAATCCTACGACACAGAATATCAGCAACTTTTGTAAAATTTTGTCTTCAGGAATGCCATAAAATCATTAGATTGTGAAAATTTCAAGCAGCAAAAATTACTCAGTTTAAAGTTGTTGATATTCAACAAGTCAAACAGTAGTAGCTTTAAAAATCTACATTATGCTGCTTGAAATTGAAATAAAAAATAAAGTAGAAAATATGTTTGGTATTGTAATTCTTAAAACTGATACCATTTGATAGATACCAGAAATGTCATTCTGTTGTCCGAAAATGGACAAATGTAAAAAAAAAAAAAAAAAAAAAAGACATCAGCAGAACAGCTGCAAACCAAGGTTGGAACCCTTGCTACAGGCAGACCTGCTGCCCAATACTCAATAAACATTAACTCTTTGAACGGCATTCACATTTTGTCGCTTTTCAAAATTTTTTAAATAAATTTTTGAACAATTTAATCAAGACCTGTAATGGGAAATTATATCAATCTTGCTCAAAATAAATAAAATTAAACGCATCCTAATTACCAACCGACCTCACTTTTTACAGTAATAAAGAAATTCTAGAAAATACATACAAATATTGCACCAGCATATTAGTAGTAAAATGACAACATTCAAAGAATTAAGGACTGTTATGTTGCATTGATGTCAGCTTTGGTATAAGAACATTAAGATTATAAACAAAATTCTGAACTCATAAAAAGTAATCAACTCTGATTTTAAAAAAATCATGCAATGTCTGTAATACACCCATTTCTCTTGTAATAATCACACACAAAAATAATACTGCAAGATTTATTTTTTCTGTTTTCTTTTTAAAAAAAAAAACATAAAATTTTTGATATATTATGTTTTAATAGATATTTTACACAATCTTTATTCGGCAAGATTTATCACTTTAAAATTGTTTAGCAAAGGCTAACCATATTGGATATGTCCATTCCCGAAATGAGAGTGAAATTTCTTGTTTTTCAAACGATGATATGTGTAAGCACCAATATCAAAATCTACGTAATATCATTTAAAATTACAAAAACACTGGTCATTGCACAGTATAGAAAATAAGCAGCTGGTGTTATGACCTGATTTATCAAAAGACAGATTATACACTTTAAAAAATGTTCCGACATTTCCGTAAAAGTATTGGTTGTAGTCGGACATCTAGAATATATAAATATACATGTATATATAGTGTTGAAAAATACTGACATGGTAGTTGTTGGCACTTATAACAAATATTGTGCGTCTCAATAGCATGCTCCGTAAGTATAACCGCAGAGAATGTCTTTTCCAAATGTGGGTAATCTCACTGTTTTAAGGTGTACACAGAACACCATGGAATGGCATGTCGTTTCCAGGCACAAGAATGATGTAAAGAATTCAAAAGCTGCTGTTGGAGACTCGCCTCCTTTCCTTGTGTCCTGCATTGTTTTTCAGACACGCTCAACCGTTTAGTCACACTTCTGAGTCCTTCTGTAGATGTAGAGTGTCCATCTGGTCTAGGATAAATGTTATTGTGTGTTGACGAATCAAACTAATGTGACTTTGAAGTGTGTTAATTTTTTCCTCTGCTGTATGTAATTGCTTCTGAAGACGTTCATTCTCTGTGGATAGAAGATCTCTTGCCTAGGGAGAGAAAAAACAAAACAGATACATGTTAATAATGACAAATTGCATTCATGGAGGTTGGATTCATATAAATTATATAATGAATGTTAAATCATCAGCATATTAAAACTTAACTTGCCTGTTCTGCTCGAGATAGCCTTTCTTCAAGATCTGTTTCTCCTTCATACGATTCACCATAGTTATCAATATCGTCCTCTTCCTGTCTGTCAATTTTTTCCTCCTCTGCAAGCATTTTTTGATCAGTTGCATCTTTCTTTTCTTTGTTCTCTTTGATGCTCTCCTCCTTTGCCTGAGCTGCTTGTTGATTTGCCCGTGTTTGTTTATGCCGTATTGACATTTTCCGTTTACAGTCCATTGTCACGTCTTTTGCAGGAACTACACATTTCAAAAGGGGGTACAAAAACCAACCGTTAAATTCTTCTACCCAATTAGAACAATATTGATTTAACCAAAATCTTCACTTTTTTCATCACTCAAGACACTTTAATTTCATACATCAAATTATAAAACTGCATAACATAAATCCATACTGATAATCACAAATAAGTAATGCATTTGTTATACAGAAAATTATTAGAAACATAATTTCTCTATTTGCATATTCCTCCAGCAATTCTATTACCAGGCAGGAAATTGTGACACTCAGCTTTTACATTCATGTGTCTTAGTGACAAGAAATAAAGCGACATGTAGTTTTTCTAAAATTACCTCCATTTTACAATCATGTTTCTCCTGACTCAAACTCCTATAATTTTACTAAACAAATAGAATTATTCTATTAATTACCCAGTTTATCTTAAAAGTAGGTGGTCATTGTTACTCCCTCGCAACCCAACATGTTCTTGAATGACAAGCATGAATGGAGTTTAGATCCGGTCTGCATTGAATACCGACTTCACAATGACCTCTCTTTAATTATTTGTTAGTGTGATAGTACTGATCAATTGCTTACAATATATCATATGCAATACAACCAAAGACAGTTATATGCCATTACCATGAAACAACATCGTACAGTACAATTAAAATCAATTTTAGTGACAGATGCCCAGTGCTAAGATACAAAAACTGTAGCCTGAACACAATTTTGTATGTCAACTCTAGGTGGCGCTGTTAACACAATGACGATTTCATGCTGCTGAAACAAGAGAAAGCTTTACCATAATAATAATATATCAAATACAATTCAAAACAAATGTTTACAAATTCTAATTATTAATTTATTCTCACCTCCATCAACAGAACCATTGGTGTGCCCGTGTGTAGATGCTGATGACTTCGAGCGGCATTCCATTACAACTAAATCTTTGCAATGCTTATGAGAGTTAATCCCGCAGGTTTTGCATTTGACACCTTGTTTTATAAGTCCCCAAAGCAAACCAGTACAGTGAGCACAGAAAGTCGGTTTGAAGTACGTGTGTTCGTGGAAATCATGTTTGAAGCTGCTGCGTAAGGCATGATAATTCGCTCTAATGAAGTAGGTCTTCATTTCACTTTTGCTAATCATGCCATCCCTGTGAAATAGAGCATAACAATACATTTACCACATCTCTATACTTTGCAGGTAATTACGTTCTCTTCATCATTGTCGGGGGTCTTTTTCCATATAAATAAAGAACTCTATTCTATTCTATTCATATAAAATAGATCTATTTTGCTGATTTTAGTTTTGAAGTGCATGGGCTGCTTATTTTTTTCATTTTAGAAGATATTTTTTTTTTAATTGTCATTATCAGGGGTGTTTTTCCAATGAATGTACGGTAGGTGCATTTTTATATTGGGTTAGACTAGAAGTATGTTGCTTTTTTCTACCAAAATTCAGTACACTTTTCAAATTCTACATTATCGCTGTAGTATTACAATTAAAAACAGTAAGGAGATCTAACATAAAAACAGTAAGGAGATCTAACATAAAAACAGTAAGGAGATCTAACATAAAAACAGTAAGGAGATCTAACATAAAAAAAAGATTTGAAACTCATCTCCAAATTTATTTTTTCAAATTCATAATATAAAATATTTGTAATGTGTATATAATATGTCAAATTTAAATGCCAGTCTGAAACAGAGGATAGTTTGACCTTGAGCTTTACAATCACCATATGCTTTATCTACTCAAAATCAACTCTAGGGAAACTGAGGCCATATATTCTTGATGAAAGATGCACTGGTGCAAATAATAATAGCGTTAGAATCTCTCTTGAGAAAAATTCCCAATACAAAGCTTTCAGAATCACATGAACTTGAGAAACATACTCTTATACTGTTACATTTCACTAGTATTTGTCCCCTTTCATAACATAAATTTGTATAACAATTTAGATTAATAAGAAGTTATGTACAATTCGTTTAAAAAATAACGAGGAAATTTTAGAAAAATACATGAAATTAACAAAGTACTGCATCCAAATTGCTGGTGTGATTAGAAGGGCATTAATAATAAGAAAATGTACATGTGGATTTACTGTACTCGACCACGTTAGTGGCAATAATGATGACGATTTTGACTTTGACTGTGTTCTAACAGACTCTAGTATTTTTAATCTCGTAAATTCGGGTGGTACGTAATTAATATTGTAATATAATTTGCATATTTGACATTTTCTGTTTCTTCAATGACGACTCACTTAATTTCGTAATTTTATTTTCCCTCAAAGACATAATATCCCTCTCAATCTGTCACACGGTGAATTAAATTGTCATTTTCACTCTTTTTCGAGGGGGGTGCTCGGGTAAGCGCCCACTTCTAAAAAATCCTGATTTTATGAGTTGAGGACCCTTGGCGCTAATGTGGTCAAGTACGGTAAGTGCAGTCATCGTACAGCACGCATTCAAAGTTTGTGTGAATTAAAAATGTATTTTACACATTCTGGATATGTTGCATGGGACTCGTATCATACATGACATGACTGTGGTGTTTTATAATGTACAAAAGATCACACATTCACATGGACACAAGGCATATTTACATGGTTGCCAAGTGATGGAAGCAAAGGTACTTACTTATCTGCATCCAGTACACAAAATGAATCCATGAATGGAAAATTGCCAGCAATTGCTTCGAATTCTTCTTGTGATATAAAACCATCTCTATCATTGTCATAATTTTTGAACACAGCCTAGATAGAGTGAAAAAATGAATAAATGGCCAGCTAATGAAATGGTGCATATCAGAACATGTTACAACCACTATGTGTACTAGTGGTAG